TTGTGGTGAAATCTTGAAAGTGAGACGGCTAAATTATAAAACTTTTGTAAATGATACCCCTACTTGGAAGCCATCTCAAACTATTGTTTTAACCTTTGATGGTCAAATCTTACCAAAACGCATATTTATGTGTTATAATGCTCTTAATGTAGATTTATACATATATCCTACGATACAATGCTACCAATGCTGTCGCTTCGGGCATACAAAGTCTCAATGTAGATCTAAACCTCGATGTTTCAAGTGCGGTCAAAATCATACAGGTGAGTCTTGTAATACTCTGGAAGAAGATGCATCCTGCTGCTTATGTGATGGATATCATTTTGCTAATAATAAGTTATGTCCAGAATTTGTAAGGCAGTCACAAATCAAACTTTACATGGCACAAAATTGTGTATCTTATGCTGAAGCTTCTAAATTGATACCATCTATTTCTAAGTCTTACGCTGAAACTGTAGCTGCCCCACCTGCAAAATTGTCCATGAATGAGATGGAAAATAGTAGAGCTGTTCCCAATGTAAGCCCTAGGACATCTTACAAGAAAACTACATTTTTGAAACCTCGCTCTTCTCCTATTCCTACAAAGGGGTATGACACAGTTGCTCATAAAGCCTTATTAAAGGAATTTATGATTCCTTCACCTAATAATGGATGTGGTTTTAATAATGATACTAATTCTGCATCAGGTACACAACTTCCTACAGATTTTGTTACTGCTCTTTTCAATCTTTTTTCCCAGTTTAATCTCTTCCCACCGTCCAACGCTGCACAGAATATTGATAATAATATGAAACCAACTTTAAATGGACAGACAGACAGACAAAATAATTCAGTGGAATTGCTGTAGTGCTATTAGTAAAAAAAGTGAAATAATTTATTTACTAAATAAATATGAACCATCTATTTTAGTTTTATCAGAAACATGGTTAACATCACAAAAACACTTTCAAATTAAGGGTTATACTTCTTTAAGAGACGATAGAAGTGATGGGTTTGGTGGTGTAGCCATTCTCATAAAAAATGGTGTTAATTATGATCCCATTAGCATATCTATAAATCATAAAGATATTTCAATTGTAGCAGTGAAAGTATATAATATTAACATAGTATCAATTTATATCAGTCATCCATCTGCACCAATTTTTGGTGAAATAAATAATTTATTCTCTACCCTTCCTAGACCCTTCTTAGTTTTAGGAGATTTTAATTGTCACCATAGAGCATGGGGAAGTTCTATTATTAATAGTTATGGAGTAAATTTATTAGATATTATTGAGTCACATAATTTATGTTACTTGAACACAGGATCACCTACAAGACTCACTGATCCTAGACTTAATAAGAGTGCAGTAGATTTATCAATATGCACACCAAATTTGGCTTCTTCTTTATCCTGGCATACTTTATCTTCTACATTAGGAAGTGATCATTTCCCTATTATTATTACATTTCCGTTTAATAAACCTAGCATTTCCCAGAAAAAGTCTACTAGAAGATATAAATTACCTGATAAAAGTTCTAAAGATTGGATTACTTATAAATCTAATGTAGAATGCAAGCTTAAGCACCTCCCTGTTATAACACATGGAAATGAAAACATTTGCGCTGAAGCATTATCAAATATTTTAAATGAAGCTGCCAGAGAGGTGTTTCCTGTCAAAGAAAATAATTGCACAAAAATACCATCCCCTCCTTGGTGGGATAAAGATTGCACTGAAGCGGTTAAGAAGAGAAAAGAGGCTGAAAGAATTTACAATAATAATATGTCTGAACCTAACTATGAATACTTGTCTAAAACGATTGCTGAAACAAAAAAGATTATTTAAAAAGAAAAAATTTGACAGTTGGAAAAGTTTCTGTAGTTCTATTTCTCCTAACACACATCCTACTCTTGTTTGGCAAAACATAAAAAGATTTAAATCTTCATATAATATATCTTCTGGAATTACTATTCCCACCGAAATAACTATTGATTTCATGGACAAATTGGCCCCTTTATGGGTTCCCATGCTCAACACTGCACAACCTTCGCAGTCGTCTTATAATCAATCTGGTTTAAATAGCCTCTTTTCTCTTCGTGAACTGAAAAGTGCAATATATCATGTTAAAGATTCTGCTCCGGGGGAAGATGGAATCCCATATTCATTCTTTGCTAATGTAAGTGACAATATCCTCTTTTATTATCTACAACTTATCAACACTATCATGTTAACAGGAAACATACCTCTGTCATGGAAGTCACAAGTAGTGTTGCCCATCCTCAAACCAAATAAACCACCATCTGAGGCCAGCTCATATCGACCGATAGTTTTATCTTCTGTGCTGATAAAATTAGCTGAAATTTTAATTAAAAACCGTTTGGAATGGTTTGTAGAAAGTCAAGGTATACTATCGAGAACGCAATATGGATTTAGAAAAGGGAAAAGTACAATGGATAATATAAGTATTTTCACAACTGACATACGTATAGGTTTTACAAACAACGAATCTATAGTGGCTGCTTTTTTGGACATCAATTCTGCTTATGATAATGTGTTAGTGTCAGTATTAAAAAATAAATTAGAATCGCTAAACATCCCGTCAATGTTAACTAATTTTATTATGAACATATTAGAAGAACGTAATTTGATTGTTAGTTTATCTAGTTATTCAGAAATAAAAAGGTCTGTATGGAAAGGGTTACCCCAAGGGTCAGTCCTTAGCCCTTTGCTATACAATATCTATACACATGATTTGGATTCTTGCTTCGATAATCATATAAAGCTTTTACAATATGCGGATGATTTGTTATTATATTCAACAAACCGATCAGTTGAGATAGCTGCGTCACATATTGAGTTGGCCTTGATTTCATTACACTCCTGGATGCTTACCAATGGCTTAGATTTATCTGCATCCAAAAGTACAATCGTAGTTTTTTCAAGAATGAGGAATCCCCCTTTAATTAGAGTTCATTATAATAACTTGCCTATACCAGTTGAATCACAAGCTAAGTTTTTAGGTGTGATATTAGATTCCAAGCTCTCCGGTCGCTCCCATATAGATTACATTATCAAGAAAACTGAACGACTATTGAATCTTCTTCGATGTCTCTCCGGTGTCTGGTGGGGGGCTCACCCTCAATCGCTCAAGTTGGTTTATAACGCGCTAATTCGAAGTGTATTGGATTATGGTACTTTCCTTTTAGAACCTGCCAGCTTAATTTCGTTAAAAAAATTAGACGGTATTCAATCAAAAGCACTTAGAATTATAACTGGTGCTATGAGCTCAAGCCCAATCAATGCTTTACAAATCGAAACTTGTGAACCCCCACTCAGTATTAGACGACAATTTCTTGCAGATCGATTTTTGTTCCGATCTCTTCAATTCTCCGACCATCCTCTTTTCCACCTACTTAACTCTCTGAACAATGAAATAACTACAGCTAGCTATTGGTCTCATAAACAACTGCCTTGTTTAATAGTAAGCTATCAAAAATACTTGAGCCTCCATTCACCTATACATCGGTCAAACCGTCTTCCAGTGTTTAATATAGATTATGACGCCTTGCTAATTTCACCATCTGTAAGGTACGATCTGATAGATAAACATAACGCTAAAACCTTTAAATCAATTATAGATTCCGAATACGAAAATTACCATCATATATACAGTGATGCTTCTAAGTCTTCCTCTTCTGAATGTACGGGCATAGGAGTCTACCACTCTCAGTTTTCCATTGTGCAGAAAAGTAAACTTCCTCCGGAGACATCTGTATTTACGGGGGAATGCCTTGGCTTACTAAAAGCTGTCGAGTATGTCGTTCTCATGAAACTAAATAAATCAATAATATTTTCTGATTCAAGGAGTGCTTTACAAGCTATTGATAATTTTCCATTCCGTACAAGATTATATAACCCACTTGTGTTTGATATAAGAAATAATCTTTATAAATGTGTTAAAAAAGGGTATCTGGTAGAATTTGTGTGGCTTCCAAGTCACGTGGGAATTCAAGGTAATGAGAAGTCTGATCAATTAGCAAAAGAGGCAGTACATTGTGGAGACATGTTTCCTTTTAAAAATTATACCCATGACTTGCTGTTGCTGCCGTTGTGTCATTTGCATAAGGAGTGGCAAACTTATTGGACAAATAGTGGACAAGTAAAGGGAAAACATTATTATCAAATACAACCTAAAACTATGATGAAACCGTGGTTCCGTAAAATTAAGATCAGTAAGACTGCTACTAGTATTTTAATACGCTCGAGAATTGGTCATGTTCGTACACCAGCACATCTTACTAAGCTGGGAATTGTTAGTGATGCTTCCTGTAGGTGTGGGTCAGACTACTGTGATCTTAACCATATATTGTTTTCTTGTACACTATACGATCGATCCGAATTCCTTAAAGATCTCATATCCTTACGTGTTTCCTTTCCCACATCCATAGTTTCTTTGCTCTCGTCTAATAACATATCAGTATATCAATGCATAGCGTCTTTTATAATGTCAAATAATATTAAAGTCTAAATATCGTTATTACTTTTTATGTATGTTATATAACGTATATATTCTATATATATTAATATTTTCGTTTCCTGATCCTATTGCTAAAAACCTGTCGCAAATCCTATTCTTTTTCCTACCATCGTTTCCCTACCTTTGACACTGGCAAATACACAAACCGTGTGAAGCCAAAAGAAGAAAAAAAAAAAATAATAATAATAAATAAATCACTATCACATCCGCAATTGCACACATTTTTCAGTTTGAAAGGGAATGTGATAGATTTTATGTTTAAGCAATTAAGCCACTGGTTGGATAGAAAATTTCTTAACGAAGACTTGTCAAAATTAAACGGGCTATAAGGCGAAAATAGTTTTGAGTTGAGCTACATGGTAATTTAATCGCTAGGTGGGGTAGTGGATAAGTGCCGCGCTATGCGATGGTTGTTGTTAAGCAACTTTCACAAAGGTCGGTCACGGGAGGGTTGACCAAAAAATTCTTATTCCCTGAAGACACTAAGCCGTTGGTTCTAGCTGCATTTGTAGTTGTAAACTCCTATCTGCATTGAGCCTGCGGCGTGGAAGGTCATGGCCCATCCTCCTTAACCACAAGGAGCCCCTGCAGTGGGGGACGTAAAAGGGCTAAAAATAATGATGTTATGGCAGCAGCTCGCCAGATTATTTGTAAAACGTGAAACAAAATCTGATATTCCATTCTTCAGTGGTAGCGGGCCGTTTTCCTGTGACGCGTGAGCTAGCGGCCGAGCTGGGAGCTCTGATGGCGCAACTAGACATGGGAGACTACGCTTCAACCAACTCGCAGCACAACCAACCGTTGGCGCATCGATTCTATCCTTATCGATACCGGGCGGGACTCAGTAACGAAGAACTAAGGTCAGTCCTGCGACTGTAAAAATCCAGACCCGAATTCGCTCATGTGTCCGAATTTAAATCATTTAGTGTAGAAATTCTATTGATTCCACTTATTGTATAAAAATACAATAAAACAATGATTGAATATACGTGTCTCAGATATTCTATTCCCATGTCATTTCGAAATTCACTTTAAATATGCTACGAAACGTTATTTTACTATAACTATAATAATAAATATAAAAAATAATTAAAAAACAAATCAAGATTGAGCGGATGCTGCATTTTGAAGTGAATTCGGTTATATTAAAAAAAAGAACAAAAAACCGAAATTATTTATTCAGTCTAGGATGTTAAAAGCACTTGTGAAAGTCGTGAGATACCTGCTTGAATTCAAATTCGTAATTTTTAGCAGCATTATAATTCCGCACAAAATTTAATGAGGGTACCACAACACTCAGGCGAGAGACAATATAGAAAAACAATTTTCAACATTGACCCGACCGGCAATCGAACTCGGCGCCTCGGAGATGGCGAACCCTTCAAAACGGGATTTGAACTACTCGGCTACGGAGGTCAACAAAATGTAATCAGTCGTCAAGTGAAATTTCCTTAATATATATTTTAGGATGATTTAGGCGTGAGGAGCATTGTACCATTGCATCTTTATTTTCTCCCTTGTGGGGTAGGCAGAAAGAACCGGCCGGTTACAAGCCGGTTTTTATAAACTGGCTTGTACTTTATGGCGGTCGGTACTTAAGTACTTCTAACAGCACGCGATTGATTTGATCGTGAAAGGTGTGGCGTGGCCTTTATAGCTTTCTTAATAGCTAGTTAAATAAATTATATTAAATAGGCTGTATATTGAAAATAATATGGTGTACCAAAAAAGTAGAGGGAGTTGATATAAAGAAAAAAAACATTTAATCTTTTACAACGGCTTTTAGACGGGAACAAATCGCCTTTATGTATCAAAATGGGGAAATTAAGACAGCAAGAAAAAGTTGATGGATAATTTACTCTTTCATTCACTCTTTTGCTGACTGATGCTTCTAATAGCCACATTTTTAAAGTTTAAAAAAAGATCTGATCCTGTCTCTAGCGCCATCTATTGACAGTTAAAACTAACAACGACTTAAATGTAATTTTATTACAGAGACGTGGAAGAAAAGTTGCGATCCAAATGGATAGCATTAAAAGGTCGCAGTACTGCGGATTGTGTAAGAATATACCTCAACTGCACTAGGAAATGGCCTTTCTTCGGTGCAACCTTATTCCAAGCTAGGGTGAGTCCCTTTTCAAATACCACAAGTTAGGTGATCATCCGAGGGAAACTCAAAATTTAAAACTTCGATTACATTTGTTTCTATATGAAATAAAGTTTGATACATATCTTGACAACAAACTGCAAGAGTAATTTTTTTTTTATTTTAATTTGAAACGGCAACAAAACCTCTTTTTAACTAATCACCAACATTAGTTTGAACACAGCCTAAATATAAATTGGTATCGTTATTTTACAGATAAAACAGCCAGATTTGTCTATGGTATGGCTAGCGGTATCAGAAGAGGGTGTAACTGTTTTAGAACTGGCCTCTATGGCAGTCATAGGACGATACGCGCTCAACTCCATAGGATTATTTGGTGGATTACAGGTAACATTCACTATAGAATTGTATCGGAATTTCAAGATTTTATAAGCTTCTAATCCATTTATATACTTAGAACATCTCTAATATTTATTCAGCTTTTCGCTTATCTCATGTTTTTAGTACATAGATTTCTTCATTTATTTCCTTGATCTCTTTTTTAAGTTAAAGAAAAAAATTGAAGGAACTTTCGTTTAGTTCTTTTGAGAATGTATTAAAACCGATGAAAGTTTTACTATTTTTACAAAATTGCTAATAGAGGATAGGCATTTGATGGATTTTTTCCTCTTTATTTCTTTAGAGGTTTTGTCACGCAGTGACAATTAGTCCCTCATTCTATATGTCAGATCAAATTAAAATCATTTATTCAGTCTAGTCTCTAGTTCTATGGTAGATATTACTAGGAACATAATATAATTTGGTAATTATGGAGTACCACTACAAATCTGTTTCCCTCACTTGAGGTGTCTTTGGTGAAAGAATCTGCTTTTTCAATACCTTATATTTCTACGTGAGCAGGTGGCCACTGTATTACAATACTTTTATTATTATTTATAGAATTTTATGTCTCCTAACCACTGAGCTACCCAGAACCTACTGAACCTAACAGAACTGACAATTTTTTCAAGCACTTAATACTTTTTCATCAATGTTCAGGCAATCCACCTAAACAGCGCAGCGGAACGAAATATTCATTCTAATTAAATTGTTCTAATTATTATATTTAATAAATTTTGCATTCATAATGCTATACTGGAAAATATTTTTAATGAAAAATAATAAAAAAAAACAGTCTACAGCCGGTCCATTGATATATGATAATGATCTAAATAAGTTTGAATATGTTTAGAGAGTCAACAGCATAATCGGCAGAAATCTGTCCATACCTAACCTACCTCTTTGGTACTTTGAGTATACACCACCTGGTTAAGTTAATGCAAAATTGACTACACACCTGACTGTACATTTCAATATGTGAAAATACATAAAATTATACAAGTGTGCTTTCATTTCGTTAGAAATAATATCTATTTTCTTTTCAGGATGACTTAATGATGCTAATAGATGCAGACGACGCAGCCAGTCCGGTACACAAGATGTTGATAAGTCTCAACAAGCCTAAAGTGAGTTACCCTTTAAATAATCTTTTTAATTATACAATTGTGTGTAGTGAAACTATTTTATCAGCGGTTGCTGAGGTTGAGCAAGTAGTGGTCGTTCAGCAGACGGTTGACCAAAAACTTACCTTCCGTACCTCGGACGGATGTTTAAACTTCGGACTAACCGTTGATCTCAGCTGCTAATGCAGTCGTAAACAGTTTGTACCGTAGGACTGGCAGGTGGTGAGGTGTTGCTTAGTCGAAGCAAATGTAATGGGACTCTAAAGGAAAATTGTTTCCCATCGTACTGAGTGTTTGTAGCTCGAGGACCGCGATCGTGTCGAAGTAGGTTGGATGTTCTTATGTGAAGTCGCAGCGAAACTTAGTAAGCGCGATGCAGGTATCACAGCGATATCTCGTGCCTATGTGAAGTAACTCCAAGCTTCCATCTTACTGTCGAGTGATGTGATCATGTAGCAGTGTTGAGATAGATATCGCCACACGTTCTATCTCTAGAGACCTTGTACTTCGACACAACATAATAGGGATATTATAGGCTCTCATCAAGAAGTAATACGTATTTTTTGTCCGCACAGATGGCAGAGCTTACTCATCTAATAGCTGACTACAAGAACGCGTTACAACGTTCCGGTGGCGGTGGTACACCACAAATGAATTCATTAACCAGACACGGTTCACATCGATCGATACGCAAACCCATCCCGCACTCCAGTCCCAACACGTTACCGCACGCACACACGCACGCGCACGCACACACGCACACGCATAACACACTGAACTCACACGCCACCACCATGACACTAGGCTCCGATCGAAATGCGACCTTAACACTAAGCTCTCACACCTCCACTTTCAATCAGCACGTGGAAGCGAGAGTCCTATCCCACGGCCAACCCGATATCCTCAAGTCTACTCCTGACCATCACAGAAGCGAGAAGAAGCGAAGTCACACTCAAGACAGCGGCGTCGCGTGATCGTGTAGCCGATTATAGACTCTATTATACATACGGTGAATTCGAAATCGCCGATTACCTCATATTAAGTAGCGTCGAAGCTCGGTCGATTTAGTTTTTACGCGAGTGTTTTCTTTTTCTATGAAAATTTTCTGAGCAGTTTTGAATGCCAATTTTAATAGGAGCTATTTATGTGCAGGGTATAATGAACGCTAGTGTGAAACGACGATCGTGTTCCGTGTTCGGTAGGAAAAATAAAAATGAACCTTAATGGATTAACCGATGATTATGGTTATGATTATGATGAGACCTGTAAAAGAGACCCGTAAAAGAGACCTTTACATTTTTATTTACCTCGTGAATAAGGTCGATAATTGTACGCAACCAAATCATAGTTGTAAAATAGAACTCGAAAAATTAAAGCTTCAGTCGGCTTAGTAGTGCAGTTTAATATACATTCATAAATGTCGTCTATCGTTTAACTTTTACCAAGCATTTGTGATAATCGACATACTATATATGTATTAATGATAATGTCATTAGAAGTAATGTATTTTTAGGTTTATAATACTCTATTTTTATTTAGGAAATTGTTTTTTTTATATATTTTTTTGTAATAACCAAACTTAACTCTTTGTAATGATATTAAAATGAGAAAACCACGAATGGTTAAAATTTCTAGTAACAATGTCTTGTGACCACTTAATAAGGTGACACGGGACAGACTTTTAAATATTTTCTGTTGAAAAATCACAAGTGTTAAATCTAAATATTCTTTCTTTTTGAATTGTAAAAAAGTATAAAGACAAATATTGATCATAAAAGTGTCGATAATAATATATACAAAATAAAAAGTGAATGGATCCATCCATATTATGGAATAAATTAAGTAAATATGCTATCATCACATAAAGAAATATATACTCAATGTATTATTTAATAGAAATCGTTGTAGGCACATAATTTAATTTAAATAATAAAAGTGGTTCTCGTATTATTATTATTATCCCTTTTGTCCAATTTGTGATCTGTTAAAATTGATATAAAAAAATACTGACCAATATTGAGCCTGTCCCAATTTCGTCCTTTGTGAGTAAATAAATTTTGTTATTTACGTTTACTAATAATATGAATGCGATAGTAACTCTGCCTGTATGTCTCACACGCTTTTAAACTCGCGATTTAAAAAAAAATGGTATAGAGATCGAATATACCTCGGAAAAGGACATAGACTACATTTAATCATGAAAAGGGGGTAGAAATTTCGGATGAAAGTTTGTATTTCTTGTAAGTCATTGAATATTGCCGAATTCGTGGACAAAATCTAGTGTCCTAAACTTTTCCCCAAAAGGCGGCACCCCCTACAACTGAGCAATAGTAATATTACGTAATAAGCATCACATTTTTTGATAATATTGGTGCAGTACCATCTTTCATTTTACTATACGTGAACATGTCATTAAAACGTATAATAAAATATGTATATACTAATTACGCAAGGTGCTTCACATCCATACACAGTGATCACTTGAAATATATCCCAATCATTCAAAATAAAAATAAATTAGATAACTTCGACCTTTTGACACAGATTCCTTACATTTTGGGATATCTAATTTCATTGAATTCAATACATGTAAATAACATTAAATATTGATGTCCAGCTTTCAAGTTGCTTTATTGTGACATATTTTCAAGATAGCAATTTGAAGAGTGGGGATTGGTGACTGATATATAATTCTAAACGGTTATGATCTTCAACGAATCTCTAGTACTACATAAGATTGGTGTTTGTAGAACAATATATTTTAAATTTTTCCAAGGAATGCAAATAAATGTTATTATAACCGAGGACAGATACTATGGACCAATACTTCATTGGTCCACGACACAACCAAATATTTTATATAATTTTACGGGCATTTTATATTCTTAGTCGAAGTAATTTTAGAAAGATTATATTGTACATATTTGCCTTTATTATTTGAGGTTCCGTAATACTTGTAGATAAAAAAAAATATAAGGTACCCAAATTCAGTTTTTTGTGCATAATAACATTCACTCCTAATTTTCTAATATATATTTTTTGTAAATGTCTAGTCCAACCACGGAACCCACAGCAAATAGTGGTACATATTTGATTTTACACTAGATTAGCTTTGATGTAACTGTCAATTTTATACGATATTACAAAGACTACTGTTACCAGCTTAGCATTCTTATCGTCTATGGTATATTATAAAAAAAACAGGTACTCATTATAATTCGTTTACAAGAGTGTAGTTATATCTGTGATCGTAGTGATTCTTTTTTATGCCCGTTTTTACAATGGCAGCATTGTTTAACCTCAATATTTTTATGAAAAGCATCTATGCCGACTTTCTAATCGTAACAAACAATATGGAACTGCAATAGACATTGATACAATAAGTAGAATCGGCTGATCCAAAATAAAGCTCTGAAAGCGTTTTGATTATTTTTGAACTACCTCATTTTTAAATCCTTATTTTGTGTTGGTAACATTTCTTTTTAAAATTATTCATGTTAAATTCTGTTTTTAACTTAAACAAAAATAATAGGTTTAAAAATTGCATATTCAGATATTTATTCTGGTAGAGCCGAATAGCCGCGAGTTCATTCATTATTTAATTTCGACCAATACGCTTCGAAAGCCAATCTAAAGTGCAAACTGCGACGATCACTTAAAAACTATAAACTTTAGTAGGTATAGTATAAAAATATTCTTTGGCAAAATTGATCGAAATGATTTATATATTTTTTTAAATAAGGATTTAATGTTAAACAAAATTTGGTTTGGTATATTTTGTTGTTTATACATTTAGCTAATGTATTTTGTTTTATAAAAGATTTTTAATTGATCGTCTTTTACAGTGCACAGTCCGCTATTTAGTGAATAATATATATGTAAAAAATGACATTTGGATTGCACTTTTTGCATTACACGACTGTTAATAGAATTCTGTATAGATTATTCATAGTGTATATTTTACATTAATAATCTTTATTTTATAATAAAATTAATTTTGAATTGTAAAGCGGTAGTAATATAATTAAGTATTTATTTTTTATAATTGTAATTGCATTGTTTTTTTTTTATATAAATTTGGGTAATTTGGTGTCGAATTTTTTAATGGTGATGTTTATTTTTGTTAACCGAGTCCTAATATGATAGTAACGTGCGATAGGCCTAATTTTTTATGATTTACTAAATTATTTGTTTGACAATACGGAAATAAACATGTATTACTGAAAATGTGTTGTAATTTAAAATGATTTTTTTGAGGTACAACGCAAACAGTTGGAAAGGAGAGGACGTGCATTTTCTTACTTCATTTCGTCATGTGATGCGTTCGGTTTGTAATGTCGGACATAGGATGGGTGACCAAAAATATTTATCTCGAGCTCCTCCGAGCTTCGGAAGGCGCGTTAAGCCGTTGGTCTTTGCTGTATCTACAGTTGTTAACATCCAGCATTTCGCACTGGGTCAGAGTGGGGGGTCATGACACAACCTCCTTAACCATCCATAAGGAATGCCTGAGCCCTGCAGTGGGAACGTAAAAGGGCTTATGATTAATCTGCATTCCGACTAATCGATAATTCGAAAGCTTTCGCCCCCAGCAGTGGCTGATAGTAATGTATACAAAATAAATAAAATTAGATTTTTTAAATTGTTAATACTTCATAAACGTAAATACTTATTTTAGTTAGGTATAGCTTAAAACTAAAGCTATCTAAGTACACTATGAAATTAATACAAAATTAATAGTCACAGAATGTTCTTTCGCATGCAATAATATTGAACCTTTTGTATGCCTTGCAAAGTCTAGTAAAAATATATCTTCGAATGGAGTCGTCATAACCACGAGTTACCGAGACCTTGGGAAAAAATGCATTTCGAAGTCATTGCCTAAGCACAATGAATCACTAGTATGAAAACTTAGATTTTTTCCATCGATATACATAATTATATAATTCAGATATTCATTAAAACATTGTCTTAATTCGAGTGTTTATTTGATAAATTAAACCAACATAAAAAAACAATATAGTGGATCATACTGTCTGTGGTAGCCATAGATTAATTGTACACAGTCTTAAACAGCCAAAATAATTAAATAAAATATATGATAACAAAAGTACAAACATGTCATAAAAAATTTAAGTAACAATGATGTTTTTAAGGCATAAAAAGCCTAATTATAATTTCGAAGTTGAATACATCATTTAGTAAGCACCATTTCATTCAACTTGACTTCGACAGCTCCCAATATAGCTTCAGTGTCGTACGGAACAGCTGAAAAAAGATGTTATTAACAAAAATTATTACTTTGATTTCAAATTTCAAGTAAGAAAAGGAAATAACCGAATATGGAATATTGTAATTCCTATTTAAATAATACTTCTAGGGGAAACTTGGTAAATATCAATAAACCCGGGAAATTCACGTTCACATACGGATTTACTTGGCTTATTTCAAGTGTATTCTCCTTGTGGTTGTTTATGAGTTCTCTACGAGTGTATAAGGAAAGCGAGACAAGGTAAGTTCTTGTATGAAAAGGTGTCAGAAGCGTGCAAAATAGAAGTAGGTGGTCTCTGCCTACCCCGCCGGAAAAAAAGGCGTGACGTTATAGATAGAAAATTTCCCATAAATTTTATTCCACTTTAGGTATACTTATCCATATTTGTTTACTTTCCTCAGCCTTTTATTTCTAATTTCGCTATAACATAACAACCAAAACTAATGAATAAATGCCTTGTATTACTTACGTATTGTTATCCATTCATCCATACTATAACCTGAGTCTTTACGTGACTCGTATATACAACGAGCAAGAACGTGGTTCACAGAGCTAGCTGTGCATACTCCCATCTCACCAACCGCTGAAAGATTTAAGAGTATAGTGAACGAGTGATTCTCGGAAACTTGAAAATCCGGTTTGCTACATCTGTCATTATTGTACTTCAAAATAATTAAATCTGATTGATATTTTTTTTTAAAGGCGACATCAGATTCTGCTTTGATATCTATAATATATATAAAGATTCAATTTTCCGAGAATCATCCGAGTACCTATTGTGTATTGGAGATCGCTGACTTATGGTTAGTGCTCTTATTATAGTAACGTGAATATGGTATTAAACAACTACTGCAAACGTCGGTTCTTGGAAGGTTGACTAAAAACCCATAATTTTGAGATTATTTTGGAGAAACAGTACAGTAACTGATGGTTTTTATTGCGACTACAGTCGTTCATACTGATCAATAAGTCTAATGGCCGGTTTCTGAATTGAGAAAAGTACAAAATCTCAACTGATTATTCTCAATACAGTGGCTGTTTAAGGGGGTGGGAGTGGGGGGGCTCCAAATGAGCTGCAGCCATCCTTCAAAATTGTTATAATTAATTTTATTTTAGTATTATAATGATGATATTATTATATATATATTTGAAGAAAATATAATGGAACATCAAGAATCATTAGCTAATCGAACACGAAATTCAACTCCAATAAATTGGAATATTTTCATCGAGACAATTTGTGATCGGTATTAAAATATATAAGCCTTCTCACCTTTGGACCCCAAAACTCCTTTAGGGTTTTTGGAATTGTATCGAAGTTTCACATTAAATTCTGCAGGTATATCGAGCGCCAATGGTACGTGATAATTGATAGAGCGGTTGGTTAATAGCTTGCCTGTCTTCTTATCGTATACTAACTTCTCGCACATGAAGTACCCCAATCCTTGAATGTAACCACCTTCTACCTGAAAAATAGAGCTTCCTTTTTGATTCGCTGCTTAAAGACAATGACTTACTGGAGTATAATTCAAATTACTTTCTTTGAAAACTATTTATTCACACATTCGCTAAACGTCGACAAGAACTCTAAATCATTTTTTTGTTTATTAATGGTATAGTTAATACAGAATAAATAATATTATAAAAATTAGGCTTACTTGACCAACATCTAAGTTAGGATTGGCACTCAATCCTACATCTTCCAAAATGTCCACCCTCAACAATTCGAATTGTCCCGTCAAAATGTCCAATTGTGCTTCGAGTATAGTAACGGCATATGCGTTGTAGCCAGATAGATCTTCCTCTTTATCAGTCATCATGTAAATGGCAGTCAAATCAACTTCTTCATCACCAGCTTTCATGACTAATGCCTTCCAGGTTGGATCAGTCATCTTTGCGCGTATTGGCTCCAATCTTTGGTTGATCATTTTACAAGCTTTCATTACAGCGTAACACGTACTTTCACTGGTTATACTGGACCCTGAGAATACGTTGTTAGCAGCTGTGAACGAATGGTGAGGTAACACAGATACATACTCTACAGGTATGCCCAACACGTAAGCGCACACTTGAGCAACTTTCGTGTTACAGCCTTGTCCCATTTCGATACCACCAGTTGTAACCGTTACAGTACCATCTCCTCTGTACACACTAACCATTCCACTATAATTACCGTAGTAAATCACAGGGAAACTCATTACGCTTATGCAGATGGCTTTCTTCATCCAACGATTAGATTTATTGAATTGGTCTATTTCCTTTGCTCGCTTATCATAGTCTGTTTCCTTTTTAAAGTCATCGATTAGAGGTGGTAAGTCATTGTCTTCGGTTCTCATATTTAATTTGCGGACCTCTGTTGCATCTTTCTTTACAGTAAATGCTATGTGCTCCATTATGTGTTCGATACTTGAAATACCTTCAGCAGTACCTAAAAATTTTCATGGTTTTTTAATTGTTTAAAAATCTTCCTTATTTATTTGTTTCTTAACCGAGTCGTATAACAATTAGTCTGAGCAGACTTTAGGGCAAAAGTTAATATATGACTAGGGTATCAGTCATATTAACTTTAGGTAGGTCGGTAGGGGTAGCAAAATTTTAATAATCTAGGTTGCGGAGACCCATTAGATGGGTGACTAAAGAATAATCATCCCAGGCTCCTTCGTGCTTCAAAATGCACATTAAGCCATACCTGTCGTAAGTTCTGCATCTGCTGCATCTGCTGTCGTAAGTTCTAACTTTATTGCTTTTCACCTGGAAATTCTCAACGCCAGTAGTGTTGAACATACTAATAATACTAATTCTACTAAACTCTTTAAACATACCGGGAGCTCTAGCGAATGAATTAGACGGCAAGTCAGTAAGAACGGCCGCCGTCTTCAGACTGAACGTACTGGGATCGTAACAATTGGGGAATCCTTGAGCAACGTAGGCCAGTATGTTCTCATTGTGTGAGCAACCATCATCTTCGACTATTGTCGCGTTGAGGTATTGTATTTTGCCGTCATCGTCAATGCCGACCTAGGGATCAGTAAGAAATTCTAGTTACCTACTGCAAAAATAAATAAGGCTTAAAACTAAATAAAGAGGCTTGTTGTAGTTTAATGATGATATTATTTGGTATATTACAAATATATTTTTTAAACTAAAGATAAAAACAGACCAAGCGTGAGTCGGCCTCGCGCTTGAAGGCTTTCTTAGGGGAAAAATATCACTTACATGTAGGAGGGGACGTAAGCTAATTTTTTTTTCGATTTTATTTTACTACTTTAATTACTTTGTATAATCATGCTTAATTACAACTTTCTAGCACTAATAGTTTTTGAGCTAAATCGCTTACGGACGGACAGATAAAAAGACATGGCCACACTATAAGGGTTCCTTGTCGACTTCAGAACCCTAAACATGACAAAACATCTCAGTCTACATAATCTGGAATCTACAAAAGTTGAAAAAAAAATATCATTTTTGTATATTTATCGTGATATGTAACACCGATTTAAAAATATTTTATTATTTTAGATATATGTGTAGAATAAAATAAAGTTTAATGTCCGGTGCGTAAGTTTGAAAATGGCGTTGCGCTGTAGCATATTTTCGCGTCTCAATCAAAGTGCGGGAATGAGACGAAGCATATAGCTATAGTAAGTCAATATGTTGGAGACAGGCACTAGCGCGGCAAATTGCCGTTTTAGTTCAATTTGCGTGCCGCACATTACACTATACTTGCCTCATAATCACATTGGCAGGGCACTCGGCGGCCAGCAATGGCAAGATTAGTCTGTAGCGGCAGTATGAAGCGGCAGGGAGTGTTTGTCTTCTTAGCGACGATTGCACATGCCGCCACCGCTTGCACGTTGCGACTGATCTTTCCGCCGAATCCTCCGCCCACACGAAGAACTTTTACTACAACGCTAAATATAAAAAAAAGAAAACTAGCTGATAATCTTACGCACCAAGAGACTTTACATAAATGTTGAATATGTCAAAGTTAAGATCAGTTTTTGAAATGGCACGTATTCTATATTCAATCTGGCCATAAATACTGTTAAAATTAAACAAAATATACTTTTGAATTTCTTATCTGTCATTTTTATATGATTGTTGTTTTCTTATTTTCGTGCCAATACATTATAAAATATTTTGTGATATTAAATTTGAGTGGGGTGATACAAAGTACCGCGTCGATGTAGTTGCTTTACATAAACAACACAATTTTCAAAACCCTCAATACGCTTGATATTAGTCAAATGTTTATGTACTGGGCTATTGATAGGTACAATGAAACCTCCGTTGTTTGTGACAGAAAAATATTTGGGCGTTCACGTAGTTTTAAAACGTAAGATAGCACCTAGAACCATGTCGCGTATTTTATAAGATGACTTAGGACTTGCAGCATATAAGAGAGGTACTGGTCACTTCTTAATAAATAATTTAATAAAAAATAGAGTGATAAAATCAAAACAACTAAAGTAGTCACAGAAAATCGTCACCGACGACATGCTCGGCAAACGAATCAGTATCACCGCGGATGCGGTGCACCGACAGCGCGACGCACAAATGCTTTTTAACCGCAACAATTTTAGCTGGAACTACCGCTCAGGCTCCCTCTCCGGAATCGAACCCTGATTCCCCGTTCCCCATGACAGTACAGATCTTAATCCGTTGGATTATGAATTATGATCAGTTTTATAGGCCACTTCGAATAAAAGATATATACATATATATTAAGTGGCTTTATACAGGATGTTTAGTAATACATGTATAATCCCGAAACATGGCCATACAACCTAGCACAAAGAACACAATTAATATGTCAAAAAACAATTTCACGTAAATTGCGATTTTCATACAAATATTTGAACAATTTGTTTCTAATTAATATGCTACAACCCTGAAAGCTTATACGTGCCGTCCCGGCGTACTCGCTCTCTCTCTCTCTCTCTCATTACCTCTCACTTTCTCTCGTTTCCTAGAACAACAGCTGTTTTTAGGGTTGTCAGCGTACAGTTTTACTTCGAAGAAAAAAGCTAAATATCTAGGTCATGTGCAGGGTTTCAGACTTAGTGATCATTATTCTGGGTTCTATTCATCATACCGTATGTGCCATATTTGGGATTATACAGGTATTACCAAACACGCTGTATATTATTAAATTAACACACTTTAACAGTAAAAAATATTACGTTCAATGAAAAAAATGATGATTTTCTATATAAGTATATTTTTAGCAAGACTATATTTTTTTTTTATCTTCAAAATGTTTCGAGTGGTTGAAAAACTATAATGAACTGTCCCTATGTCGTCAATAGATTCACTGCAGTCGCACAGTTTATTCTTATCTATTGTTTACAAAAGGGCATATAATACGTACTCGCTCTCTTTGATGCCCAAACATTGAGCTACCGCGATCTGAGTTAAATCCATCCATTGACATGAGTCATAGACCTCGAATCTTTCATCCACTGGTACGACCACTGATGTTATGGGCTCCATATAGTAGTGGTATTGTGCGTCTATCTGATAAACGCCTTTGATTATTTTCTTCACATTATTTCCTTTGCTTTTTGGCTCTATGCCGTCTGAATACGGAGAATATCTCTTGCTGTCTTTTTTAGCTTGATCAATGGTTAGCACGGGTGGTGTACCTCTGACATCTTTGTAAGTTATTTCGAGCTGTTTCGCTACTTTAGCTGCTAACTCTTCGGTTGTGGCGACGACGATTGCGACGGGCTGCCCGCAAAATTTGATATCAGTTGCCAGTATTTCCTCGTCTTCCATTTGCAACTGGATACCAGGTTTAGTAAAGGAGTTTTTGCCTGGTATATCCTTTGCAGTGTAAACTGCTACCACGCCTTCTATTTTCTGGAACAAAATTTAATTTTTCATGTAATAGAAAATACTTTAAACATCAACTGTCTTAACTTTTCGTGCTCGACTCGGTGTGTGTGTGTAACATCTCATTAACTAGGCGTTTGTTACAAAATAAAATTTTATAGATGAGAAAAAAAATTAAAACGACATAATCCCACGGTCAATCAATAGGACAAAGAGAGACGGACGATGTCATATTGAATGGAATGAAGCACCAATTTTATTTTATTCTTCGAAAACTATGACGGAATTTTTCTGTATTTCAAATCCAGTGACTTTATTTTAACTTAAGTATAGAAAAAAATATATTATTATCAATTAATTATTAAAGTTTACTTCGTACGATTAATAATTAAATTTACTAAAAGAATACAACGTAGGGTGGTTGTCCTCGACTAAACGATTTTATAAAAATGTACTCACCAGAACTTTTTCAGTTTTCACAGTATCTACTTTTCCACTAGCAACAGTCGATAGCGCGAATGCTCCGAAAACTTCGTGGGGCATAGGCGGTATATCATTAGCGAATTGCGCTTCCCCAGCACTCTGGATCTTAGCTTCCAACTTATGAACTGGCTGGTTGAGGGGGTATAAAGATTTGTCCGTCTGATAGTCTTGGTGGCCTTTGGAGACTGGCCGGCTGATCAAGTTACCACCTGATCTGTAGCGAGGAGCTGCATTAGATGATGCGATTTTTAACATGAACTGCAAACAATTGAGAGATAGATACATATAGGTACATGTATTTTTGGATTACGATACTCCATTCGCCTACAAAGGTCGTGACATCTTGTCTTCTGGAGATTTTGTCTATTATGTTTTCCTCTGAAGGCCCCAAAAAGCTTCTGAGCTTCTAAATGGAGATGGATTGACTAGAGCATGAATGAATAAGATAGTTAATTATCTATGAATAAGATAATTAATCGGTGTATTATACTTTTCACGTATAATACGCCGATTAATGCGTCTGAGAGCAAAAAACTAGAGCACTGTAACCTTTAAAATGCATTACGCAAGCGCGAGGTCGGCGGATTATGTAGGATTTTCCTCTGCGGACCCACCCCGGAGTGGAATTAATCAAATAGCAGGGGCATACCCACTAAAACCCAGTTCCTCTCCATGGAGGCGGAGCATGGATCTAACTTTACCTAGATTCAAAGTGATTCTATCTTATCAAAAAACAAGGACTTAAGTTAGTATTTAGTTTAAACCAATGGCCGCTTAAAGGAAATTGACAGTGATAAAGAAAAACGTCAAATTAAGAAGTGTCGGCTTATTTTGGTCGGATAATGGTTTAAACCAGGAACTAAAATTAGTACTTATTTTATAATAAGATAGATTATGTGAACGTAAGTATCACATAGGCATTTGTAATAAAAACCTTACTTTGTAGAATAGTCCAATAGCCAATTTTTTCCGGCATTCCGGAGATTGCTGCGGTGGTATATCTTTTGGTTGAATTTCGTTGTTCAATAAATTGATAGCTCCCTGTACAGTGTCATCTTTCAAAAAGTTCTTTCCTTTCAAATATACTTCTGTCTTCGTAGCGTGTATGAAGTCAGCGGATATATTGCCGAAAACGAGTTTAGCATCGTCAATGACATTAGTTTTAGAGTTGACTTTCACAACGAAGCAAGCATTCACAATGGCTAATGAGTTTTGATGACGAGGCATTACCTGAAATGAAGCGGAGCTGATTTTTATTTGAAAATCGCAAACGGAGATTCCTGCAACCATATTCAGGCTGCAAATAGGGGGTCGTTTAGTAATCAAAGAGGTCGTGACAAAAATGTGTAAGAGCTTTCTAAAGCTTGTTTTAAGCTTGCTTGGTAATGGTTGTTAGTTAATTTATTACTAAATTATGAGTAGTTTCGCGCCGCCGACATCTGCATGATTTTAATCAAGCTTTAGAAAGCTCTAGCACATGTTTGCCATTAGCTCATCGTTTTTAGGTACATTAGTCGATATACCAATGAATGAACCAATGACTCGTATTTTATTTAAGATTTCATTTAAGACACACAAATATATACTTTCAAAAACACTTTTTTGAAGAATCGCTTAAAATGCTAAACACACGAAAATTTAGTTTAGCCATTTTTTTTTTATTTCTAAACTAATTAAATATTTTAAATCTATATTTTTTTACATTCGTACATGAAATAAATTGTTTGAGCTGCGTGTTTATATAGAAACGGATTTTCTAGAGTCAAATTTACGTTATAATCAATTTACAATATAAAAATAAAATTAACCTACTTACTTTGTAACTCTGCACGACATACTTTGAACTTAACGGCGGCAATTCTACGGACACCACGAGTCGACCACACATGTCATATTTAAGAAATTCAGTCATTTTCAACAATTTATGTGAGCCTAGGCCATCACCTAGAACATGAACATTAAAATTCATACACATGAAAAAACAATGGGGTAATTGTCAAAATTTATGTAATTATATAAAGTTTAAAGTCGCAACCGCTTTTGAAACGAATGATGATTTCTATTAAAAATTCATTAGTTTGAAATGTTTTAATAGTTTTCAAAGATATTTGCGTTAGACAATAATTAACGTCAAATTATCGATATCGTTCATTACGTCGCGGTCGCATCGCTATCGTATGTCAAATAGTTGTAACGTGAAGTTTGTGAATATCTTTCTCATGTTAAATTGAAACGTATTGTAATAAATTTTTAAATTAGAAAATTAACCCCGTAGTATCTTCTTTCACTATGAATTTTCTGCCCCGGTTAGAAAAAATTGGTAGATTCAGGGTATGTTCCGATATACACTGCGAGCACTGCGCAGTGGTCTTACTGCTGAAAAATCCGCTCCGTTATGGATTGCCAGTACACTGCTACAGTACCCTAGGGAAATTAATGACGTCGTAATTGCCGCCATATTTGTACTGTGAGCACTGGAGATTTCGAGGTAAGGTGCTCGCAGTGCTTTTGATCACGTGATCAGTCGAAACAGAATCAGAAAATGATAAGTTTCTAAATAAAAAAAAAATAAATACTTACGTTTATTTATAAGATGGATTTAATTGATAAATAATTTTTTATACAATTTTCCAATTTTCTTTTGAATAGAGGAAATCTTTATATTTATATTCACCTTGCATTAACAAATTTGAAAATGGCGCCAAAAAATAGGATTAACAGTATACTGGACTGCGTTCCGTTTTAAAAATTCACCAGTATAACTAGCTATAAAGAAACGGGCTTCCAGTATACTAAATTGACGTCATACTGTTCAGTGGTCGCAGTGTATATCGGAACATACCCTCAGTCTTGCTGTATAGTAAGGACATAAGGATTATATTTTAACCTTTTTCATTGCTTTTAGTACGTATTAACTAACTACATATTCCCCCTTCCCACCATTCTTGTTTTGTATCTCATTCCTTCACTCTAATTGCCATCCGTCTTTGGAATGCACTGCTTTTGAAGATCCGAAGTGCTCCTAACAAATTTTCTTTCAAGACAGAAGCTCGCAACTTCTACCATGCTTCAAACAGGATTGCTTGATCTTACACCAGATTTTGTTTCGTAATTTGTATTGTAGTTATATATATATGCATTTTTTTATGGATGTGTATGTATACGTATTATTGTATATATTTAGATATAGTTCTTATGTAGAAATATCAATAGCGTAACTTTAACTTTTGTACTAAATTAACTGGGTAGAGAATGTCTCTTTGGCATTAAGTCCGCCATTTACTATTTTACTAGGCAATTAAGATTAAATAAATAAAATATTATTCATTGCCGAACACCGTACGGTCCCAGATACGATTCTTGATCGGGTCAATGTGTTGTGCTACTCTTGTTGTGTTTACCTACTCATCTTGGAATCTGAGCAACATATCTGATGTTGTCTTAATGTTATTAAGTCTAAAAAAAACCTGTCGGAAAATATTTAGATGGATTCGATTGAATCTATACTAATATTATAAAGCTGAAGAGTTTGTTTGTTTGTTTGAACGCGCTAATCTCAGAAAAAATATTTTTGTGTTGAATCGACCTTTGATTTGATTTATCGAGGAAGGCTTTAGGCTATATAACATCACGCTGCAACTATTAGGAGCGAAGAAATAATGGAAAACGCGGACGAAGCCGCTGGCGGCCACTAGTATTTAATAACTCACGAACTGTTAGCACGGCGCCAATCGCTTCAAAAAGTAAAAATATATCTGAAGGGTAATTCGGCATTGCGCGACGCAACATCAGGTTACCAGCTATTGAACCGATCTGAAAAATAAATATATAAATAAAATATACCAACTCTGATTATTACAAATAGTTACGGATTACCCGGAAATTGAAATTTGCACTGCAAGGGATGATAGATGGGTAAAACAATTTTTTTTTTGATGGGGTCTCGTTACGTCACAACTTTATAGAAAATAGTACATGTGTGACGTCATGCGACATATAAAATTAAAGTATCGCCGTAATTTATAAATTTGGAAAAAAATTAAAATGCTTGTTTAAAATATTTTAATAAACTACACGACGGACAGACAAATAAAAATTAATGACCATTTAGAGTTACCTATGTTTAAATAATATTTAATAATAATTTTAACAATGAAAACGCACTAATAAAATATATTTAATACTTACATTTCTCACAGGTATATGTGCAATAAGATCTAAATGCTTAGCAAACTCTGCCAAATATGCAAATTCAGATCTCGTAGCTGCTGCATCTTTAAATATAGTTATGCAATCTTGCAAAGAAATGTTGGCCCCCAAGATTAAGTTCTGGTCGAATTTGTACGTCTTTAAAGACTTGACACTACTTATGTCAATAAGTACGCGGGGGTAATCGAAATCGTCGTACAAACCTACAATTATAATATTATATTCAAAATTTGCAATATTTAAAGAGTAAAAAACAATGCGTGATGTATAGTTTAAAATTTACCTATACAGGGTTATGGGTAATTAGAGCGGATCCTTTAAGGGATCGTAAGGGAGGTCATTTATAACTATTTTCACCCCACATTATATACCCGAAAATATTTTTTATAAATGCACTTTTGTTTGTAAATTTACAACAACAAAAATGTTTTTTATTTTTTTATTTAAAACTCTGTAGTTTCTGTTAGAGGCAAGATTATTTTGGTTTTATTATTATTTATCACGAACTGGAATGTTATCTCTGCAAAACTGTCAACAAAATTAGATTCTGACCATAATTTTTTTTTCGACTTTTAATAAAGAAAAATAAATAAATACAATTTATCACAAAAATGGCTCACTTTCGGATACACAATGTGAGGTGAAAATAATTGTAAATGACCTCCCCTATGACCCCTTAAAAGGGTCCGGTCCAATTTCCCATAACACTGTATATAAAATCTGCTAAATTAATACAGTAGCATAAATTAGTCCCCCTTTTCTTCTTCTAAATCACTTCTCCTATATTGTAATAATTTTTCATAAACGACTTTTCGTAAATCAAACGATTTTATTAAATTTTTACTGTTGGGTAGGAATATGTGTGTGGGAAACTGAGTCTATTAGATCATATTTAAGGCTATTGTTAATCTGAATTGATTTAAAATCTTACCTTTCCCCGTATTTCCATCTATAAACATATAAGAATCGGTGCCGTTCAGCCTAAGTGTATTAAATATTTCATCTTCATTGTACACCTTGAAGTATTTATGGTTATCATCAGTATCTAGAACGATAGTATCTTGTGAATCGTATTTAATACTGTCATCTGTCAGAATACTCCAATCACTATCGACACTTTTAACGGAGCATTTCCTTTCGCAAGCAGCGTTTGTTTTCTTGCATATGTTCAGTTCCTCTATATCTCTGACCTTCTGGCATAGATCTGCACTAGCGTCGACGGCGAATGACTTAACGGTGTCCATAATCGGTCTAAAGCCGGTACATCGGCAGGTGTTGCAGCCAAATGCTCTTTCCATCTCTGCCATACTGAGGCTTTTATCCTGTAAGCTGTTCATTAGCAATGTTAAGTCTATTGAGTTTAACATTCATTTTCATTAACCCGGAACAAGGCATAGCTTAAGTAGGAAACGCCTAATATTAAGAATCACCTAAGCAGATTAGTTTAATTTCAAATAAATATTTTTTCTTTTATCCTTTGACATATTCATGACTGCAAATGTCTAGCGCAAGGCGCCGCATAATGAATATCATGACATTAGACTTTGCTTAATTTCGTTAGGTGGTTTCTAGTCAATGTTGAAATGATATTTAGGCGACTCTTAAGTTAAGTGAAAACGGGCATTAGACATCATTGGTGTATAGAATGATATAGTTTCTTATCAATGTATGTACACACGTAACAAAAAAAATGTTAAACATACTTTTATTTAGTGTTTTGTTTTTTACAAATTACGCCCTTTCATTTGATACCATTTATTTAATAAAATGTCTCTAAGTTACCAACTTAAAAGTTTATTAAAAAAAATATTAAAATTCATACATGCATGAGTTTCATATTAGACTTCTATTGTTTTGTTATAAAATACTGTTTTTATTATTATAAAAAGACTTATGTTATACATATATTAGATAAGAAGACTGGGTTATTTATTTTATTTGTTATTTGATTAGATGCATCAGTTTCCTACTTTAAAGTTTATTTATAAAAAATTATACACATACATACTACAAAGAACAAAATTTTATTGAAAAAAAAATATATGTTTATTTATTTATTTTATTACATCTGATTCATAATACCTATAATTCTTATTATTTTTCGTTACACATTTAACGAATAAATAATTTGTGAAAAACACAAAACCGCCAATCTCGCGTGATCTCGAAATCGGCGAGATCTCGCGTTATAGATATTCATAAACTCGCGAGATCTCGCCTGAGCCCCAATCTCGCGAGATTGCATTCCCTAGATACGACGATATAACCGCAAAAGAATCGGAAAGGTTTGAGAGCGGTGCTTGTTAAGCGCCTTTGTATTTTTAACCGACTTGAAAAGGTTCTTAGTTTGACCTGTATGTATGTTTGTGCGCGATTATCTCGCGTTTGCCTGAATCGATTTTGATGCGGTTTTCAGCATAGTATTTGTCTGACTTATGAGAAGGTTTTAAACGACTAAAAAGGGGAGGTTCGCACTTTAACACGGTGCGTCGTACCACCGTTTATTTCGTTATAGGTTTCCGCATGCAAACTTTGTGTTTTTGATCTTCAACATCTTTTATTTTTATTATTCACTTTTCGTCATTTGAAATTTAGAGTAATCAAATATGCTCTTTATGAATGTCGGTTCGTGAAAATTCGTCGAGTTAGAAACATTATACATTCTTAATTTCATTCAATAAGATTTTATTTTATAAAGTGTTAAAATTTTTTATTATTTAATTAAGCTCACGAGCAGAGATGTGACTTATCTTAGATACAAGTATTTGAAATACAGATACAAAATACGTATTTTCATCTTGTATCTAAAATACTTTTTTAGGAAGAATTTTGTATCTTCTATTTAAATACTTTAGTATCTTAGTATCTTTTAAATACTTTTTCTGATAAAATACTTTATTAAAAGATTGTTTCTTACATTTTATAAATATCTTTGCCTTAAACATACATATCTAAAAAAAGGAAATTGTCCAATTATCAACGCAATGAATATTCAGTTGAAAATAACTTGAATCCAAACATTGTTTGGTGTCATTTATAAAGTAAATGCGTAGAACTGAACGTACGGTAATAGCGGTGTTATACACCCTCCCTAGTAAAAATTGATAGATGGCGCATAGGGCTTGAAATCGAATAATCAGTTACAAGCAGTAAAAATCCTGATTTATGTAAAAAACGGGTCATATGCTATAAATAAAACTCAGTATATCAATTAAACTCACTATTAACTTTTATTAATTTTTTGCACATTATACTATTTTCACTAACAACAGCATTCAAAAAGTTTATTTTTAAAGAAATTTCACTGTGAAATTCGATACATGGCAAATGCTTGAAATTATATCCCGTGAGCAAAGCAATATTGTTTTTATTGACTCAACAGTTAATCTATTTCTATATTTTGTCCACTGCATATTCATGAGCGAAAAAAAAAATCCATATTCGCATTATGAGCCAAAAAAAATAACTGACAAATCTTCAGTAGTTCGGAAACGAGTGCTGTCATTGCAGATATTGAAGATAATTACCCACTGCTTTTCAACTGGTTCGTCATAAAAATAAATTTGTTAATAGACAAAATTCTTCAAAATAATTTCTTTGACATCGTCAATTAATACTCCTTTATTTTTCAAAAATACAACACAATCTGTGATGTTATCGTATAGTAGGTTTTGCTTTAATAAGTAACCATTCAATTCAAGGGATCTTTATTGAGAAACATCAAAAAAACGGGCGGAGTCCTATCTAAATATTAGGTCTTTACCTATGAAATTGTCGTTCTGCTGTACTAGCCATTTCAAATTAAACTATTTTTTTGGCTGATAATACTAATATCGATTTTCTAAAATCGTCATTTGTTCAATAGTAAGTGTTTTGTTTTCAATGCATTTGAATATTTTTTTTCGTCATGAATAAGTTAAAAATTTGAGTAATTATGGAGTATGTGTGCCATCGTGACAGCAAAGCGGCACAAGCGGCACGCAACATTACAACGTTTGCAGAGCGAACACTACAATCGAACGCACCACCCGTTATTGGTTTGCCCGCTTCCGCTCTGGAAACTTTAGTCGACAAGGCGATTGTGGAAGCTGATTCAATCTACGGTTGAATTAGCAGCAGCTTCGACGTTAGCAACAAAACAATATTATATAAATATATATCTACTTCAAATCCGGTTGAGACCGGATTTATCCGATCAGATGGTAACTAATGGCGCATTACCAACAGTACCAGCAATACCAACTCTACGTCTTTTTAGGTACATCTACGTATTATAAGCCATTCCTACAAACCAACGTGCTATAATCAACCACAGAAGCTAAGTATTTTCTACTAAAAATTTACAAATTAGCTTAACACACTAAAGGGGCATAATTTTCGGTAGTTCTGCAAAAAAAGTTAATATACGTTCCGTTACATACTATCGCACATTCACCTCGTCACAAGCCACGCCAATAATTTTAAAAACCAAGTACTGTATTTATTTTTACCCACTCTCTTGATCTTACTAGGAAAAAATGAATTTTCAGTTCTCCGTAATTTTCTCATCTGGTCTACGTCGTAATATGTCGTCGTACGTAAAACCAGCTTTTTAAATAAATAATAATTTTATAATAAAATTTAAATAATTATTCTTGTTGTTATATTTGAGCAATTTTTCATTCACAATGCTATATTGAAAAAACTTATTATTAAAAAGGAATTAAAAAATTTAAAATAATTTAAACCTGATGTATTAAATATTTGCATTTTTATATGTTACATTGTGATTGACAAGCAAAAAAAAAACATTTCAGGCTTTTTTAATTTGTTATCTCCAAACGGAGGAAAAGTGGGTGAAATTTAGCTTGTAAGATTTGAGTACAAACACCAGTACAGGTGAAACTAAATAAAAGCTTGTAAAAATTATTTCTAATGAATAATTTTTACAAGCTTTTATTGCTTAAAAAATGCTTAAAAAATCCACTTTGTCCCTGGTCCCATCTGGTCCAAGATTTAGGTTCTTGTGGTCTTTAATAAACAAACTTAAATTCAAATCTTTTTTTAGAAAAGTATTTGTATTTATCAAAAGTATTTATAAGATACCTATTTTGTATCGAGTATTTCAAATACTTTTCTCGAAAGTATTTCGTATCTGGTATCTGAAATACTTAATTTAAAAGTATTTTGTATCTTGTATTCCAAATACTTTGTACAGGGTATTTTGTACATCTCTGCTCACAAGTTTAAACTTAAAAAAAAATAAAGTAATAAAGTTAAATTGCTCATTAAACTCGAAGAAAAGGTTTTTTTGTTACCATTAATGAAGTTCTGAAGCTTAGTCAGCCTTTTATTAATTTGCCTAAGCATCGAAACAGGCACAAACGAAAAGTATTTTAGTGTCATATCCATTATATAAAAAAATATCTATATTACTAAAAAAACACATCATCTATATTACAAAAACATGAAATAAAAACTAAAAAAAAATAGAACCAACTTCAAACCTGGAAATGTGAAATACATATATTCTGAAAAAGCGACTTATTCAAGAAAATGCTATTAAAGTCGGGCGCCTATCATTTAATTTAAAACTCACAGAAAACCTCCGCCCGAATTAAATAGCATTTTCTTATTCAAGAAAGTCGCTTTTCAGAAAATTTTTCACTTTTTTTAGTTTGTAGACGGCTTTATTTTTTAAAAAGTTTATTTTTTATTTTATAAGAATTATATAACTTTGACTGTTATATATTTTTAAGAAAATTAACCTAATAATTAAATAATCATTATGCAAATTGAATCCGTTGTATATCGAATTGCTTGCTCGTGTACGAATACAGATGTTACCTATTTATTATATGAGCAAAACAAAAGAAAATAATAGAACCTATTTATTTAAATGGCATTAGTAATGTAAATTTATAATAACGCATTGACGTAATCTATTATTGTAGAATTATTTGCACAATAATGATAACATCAGCAACATGTAAATTAAAATAATCACCTGTATAAATTCATAGCCCAACCGGGCGTACAATACCCGCACTGGGTGGCATTAAAACCTACGATTCTCTTTTGTATGTCACCGTAGCCACGTCGCCGATCTCCCAGACCCTCAATGGTGGTTATCTCCCAGCCATGACATGAGAATACCAGCACCAGGCACTAGAAAGCAATAAGCTATTATCTTTGGCTGATTTCAACATCGAAAACGAGGTCTTATTTTACACGACAAAACGTCAAAATTAGGGACTGATTGTAGTTTATGGTAGTTAGGTAAATAAACGAACAACAAATTAAATATTTTGTTTCTATGTTGTATTTT